AATTGGTGAAAGCGTTGAAGAGTTTGTGAACAAAGCATTTTTAGAGTTAATGGGCGTTAACATGAAAATCCCCCTTTTTTAATGAATAAAACCTCACATTTTGAAAATGTATATTATAAAATTCCTAAAAATCTAAAACATTGTAAAAGGGAGCTCACGTCAGTAGATATAATCAATTCACCAGAGTTTCATGCAAATTGGTGAAAATATTACCGAGTTAGTGAACAACATGCTAGAAACAGACAGATCAGGGCAGACAGACGGACAAAGGCATACCATATTTCTCATGAACAGGCGTATGAAAACTGCAGGGTACCATTCCAGGCCAACACCCTCTGAAGAAAACACTATAAGGGAGCTTCCTTTCCATTTTTATGGGGGAAAAAGGGGGGGGGGGGCTAGGATGAAAAATTTTGTCCTGCATTTTTTTTTTAGTTCGAGATGTAATCTGTCCTGCCTTTTTATTTTGCACTCTTTTTTGTCCTGCCTTGTTTTCTATTAGTTTACCCAGACTTGTTTTTACATAAATTGTCATCCTGCCTTTTTTTTCAGTCTCATCCTACCTTTTTTCAAATTACATCCTAGACCCCCCCCCTAAAAATCAAATGGTAGCTCCCTAAGTTAGCAGACAAATTATTTTATTTTTACATTGACAAACCTGTATAACCTTGAAGCAGTATTAGGTTCATGTATTATCCCGCATATTATTACATGTACATTGAACTAAAACAAATTGTGGTCATTGTCAAAATTATAATTTAGTTTACTTTTCCAATACTTTTAATTTAAGATTAGGACATTTTTGTCATTGGAATTGAGTTTTGTAGTCGGAGATAACTCTAACCTCCAACGACTGTTTTGCGACACCAGCTAGGGCAGTGGGACTTCAGCTGGTCCCATATCAGATAGATGATATTTGCCCGTCCAAAGTGGATGTGCTGCTTTGTTGCTTCTGGAGTCGACTGGATCCATATAAATCAAGCCTCAATTTATTCAATTTTCTCTTCATTTAAGTAAGTTTGATCAACCTGCCACCCGTTATCTTCTCATATTTGGACAGTTTTCACATTGACCCATCCAGTGGCGGATCCAGAAATTTTCATAAGAGGGGACCCACTGACTGCCTAAGAGGGGGCCTGCTCCAGTCATGCTTCAGTGATTCCCTATATAATCAACCAAATTTATCCCACAAAAGGGGGGGCCTGGACCCCCCTAAATCCGCCTCTGCCATCAATACTGACATTTTAGAGGGTATGAATGCCCTTTACCGTCAGACGTCTAACGGTCATTTTCGGCTACCGTTAGCATCAAATATGTTAACATTTTACCGTGATTCGTCAACATATCCTTATCATGATTCATCAAAGGTCTCAAATAATAATCGTTACAGTTATTTTTGGCAAAAAATTAACGTGATTCGTCAAAATCTGTCAGTTTTTTTATCGTCTTGAAGAAAGTCGTCATTTTATCGTCATGCACCAAAAATTACTGTTAACGTCATTTGGCAAGATTTTTTACCTTTATTCATCATGAAGGTACCCCAATTACCACCCTCATTTTAACTTTCTTTTTATAAGAATGTCACATGACCAACATTATGGGAACTGATTTATGCAATTGACCCTTATTCAATATGAAAACAATCTATATAAATCAAGCCTCAATTAGTTCATTTTTCTATTCATTTAAATAAGTTTAATCGACCTGCCACCCGCTATTTTCTCACATTTGGACAGTTTTCACATTGACACATCAATACTGGTATTTTTACTTTTAACTTAAAAAGATTGTGACATCAGGGGTGAAACTTAACTTTGTAAGGCCAGTTAGCCAGCTGGGTTACTAGACTTGAAAATCAGTTAGCCCAGACAAAAAGTTAGTAGCCCAATTTATTTCACTATATCACTGGTGAAGCCTGCGTGCGGGCTGAACTTGCTAGGGGGGTTTGGAGGCATGCCCCCCCAAGAAAATTTTGAAATTTTAGACTCAAAACCCTGCATTCTGAGCATACCTGGAGGTGATTTAGATGCTTGGGAAAATGTAAATTTTGTCTTATTTTTGTTGTTGACTTCAATCAAATTTAATTAAAAAAAAAATCATTTACAAAATGGGAATCTTCATACCCTGTGTACCAGTTTTTTTTTTAATATCTTTTTAAGACAACTAAAGAATTCTCTGTCCTTAAATACATGTAGATGATCGATGAAATATTTAATTTTATTTCTTTAATAATCTAATTTATTAAATATCTTGAACGATTTATTTTGCATAACTATGTACATTTGTAAACAAATGACCCCCATTTTTTCTCAAAAGACTTGTACACGTATTTCAAAAGCATTGTCATAAAATTGATATCTCCTCTGATTTTCTCTTTTTTGTAAACTGTTCAGTAAGTAGGAAACTAAAATCATTTTGAACTAATGTTATTTATTTGTGGTCGACAATATTCTTTCGTTTTTGACCTTCATTCTCTGGACACCACGTGGGATTTGAAAAGGGAATTACAAAAGGTACTGTTTTCCAGATTCTTAACAACATTATATATTATACGTTCTTTTATTTGACTGATATTATTTCATAACATGCTATTGTCATCTTCTCTGAATTTCTTCGCTTTCATGAAGCCAAAACCGAACAGGGTATTTGATCGCTTCATATTGTAAATGACCATCGGAACGTCTCTCTTGTTATCCTTGCAAACATACAATACTTTCCGGACTTTAAATAGACGACCAATCAGTGACCTGAATTAACGTGAACTATATTTAGTCAAAGGTAAACTCTGATTTTACATCCTTGTTTATCGCAACCGCGACTTTGCGACAATACGACTCTCAACACTTGCCTGTATACATTTTAAAAATTTTTTTTTTCTTTTTGAATTTATATTTTTGTCAGTGAAGTAGCCGGCACTTGGAGCCACGGTAAACAGCGGATTTCCGTCTGTCCGGTACTTCGTTTTCAATTTGCCACCTGGGCTACCACAACTGAATAAAAAGATCACCCAGGTCAATTTCTGGTCGCCATGGGCGACCGTTAAGTTTTTTCCCTGGACATGACCAACAGAAAAAGTTATTTTCAATGCATTATGAGAGCTGATTTATGAAAATGACCCTTATTCAATAGGAAAACATAATCTAACACCTCGTTCATTTATGATGCAAATAAGCTGAATGGCCGAGTGTGTTCAATTTGAAAATAAAAGAGTTAAAATGCAGGAATCGCAAAAACAGATTGGACATCAGAGTAATCTCAGCCTATGGGTATGAGTTTTAGGCAATTTGTAGGGGGGAGGGTTCAAGGGAAGCAAATGCTCTTTAAATTATGCATGTTTCAAAAATTGGGGAAAAATTACAGAGCATTGAGTCATTTTTTTCAGACTTAATTTAAATAATGACTAATGTAGACTTACCTTCTAATTCTATAAAAAAAAATCACAACTACTGAACAGGAACAATCATGGTACTTTTTTGTCTATGAAACTACACTATGACATCTGATCTTCAAAACCTACAAACAGACACAGAAATATCATCAAATAGTGAAATATAAGATTGATTGCACCTTGTATGGCTAGTTCCGACACGTGTTACATGGGGAGCCCGTTTGTTTACAAATAATAATGTCACGTGATCACGCACTGACCGTCACAAATTTTTATCCTCCGCCATTATTCGTATTACACAATATTATTGTACTTGCACAATTCACAAATGCATAACCCATTTATCTTGCGGACATGCAATGGGAATGTGCAAAAAACTACAAAAATATTGCATGTACAGTTAATGAAGAAGTTATTTCATCAAATAGATATTTAGATAAGATTTTCACTCATGACACAAATTGACTGGGTGTCATCGCCATCGGGGATAATTGATAAATGGGATTAAATTGACCGCCAAGAAGGTGTAGAGAACCACCTCTGGAGAACCTTAACATCAATAAGTAATACTCACCAAAATTTCTCTATAATAAACGCTATTTTCTGTTGGAAAATTTCAGAAAGATGCTGATAAACTTATTTGGTGACACAGATTATTTTCTTGTTTTGGCGCGAAATATATTCTTACTCTTAATGCTTGACGTAACAAAATTTGTATATAATTATATTTTACTAAAGCTCAGCGTAAATATGCAGAAGCATGACAATACATTAATGATAAAATGTGTAAATATTTCTGTAAAAGAATATAATTTTACTTTCCCAGTATACTTCACTTAGAATTACATTTGAGCGCAAGAAAGTCTCCTTGTGAATAGGCCCGGGGTCGAAGTTCAACATATCAACGGAAATTTTTGCGTTTGCTTGCGTTGCATTACATCGAGGCTACAGCTTTTCAACCAATCGGGAAATGTTTACCTAGGGCATACATCTATTTTTACTGCAGGTTTTGACATGTTTAAATCGGGATTATAGAAAAATGGAATGTTGTTGGTAAATACAAGACAGAAAATGATGAACACTTTTAGCAAAAGATAAATTGGATCGGGGGTCTGTGAATTCACATTTTTTGTACAACTCTCCTTACTCTTGGGAAGCGTGTGCTTTACATCGAGGCTTGCGTTGCTTTACATCGAGGCTTACATTGACGCCATAGTAGTTCAACCAATCGGGGAATGTTTATTTGGGGTATACATCTATTTTTACTGCAGGTTTTGGCATATTTTAATCGAAATTAGAGAAAAATGGAATGATGTTAGGAGATATAAAACAGAAAATGATAAATATTTTAAGCAAAAGATGAATTGGATCGGGGTTCTGTGTATTCATATTATTTGTACAACTCTCCTTACTGATGGCAAAAAATGGAATTTCCGTGACCTAAATGGTTCGCGAAAATTAATATTTTTATATATATATAGTAACTATTAAAAAATTACCTTGCATATTCTGTCAATGCATTATAAACTAAAATTGTATTTGGCAAAAAAATATGACAAAATGTTCACAATTATGACCAAAGAACCTTCTTAGAAATTTATTACATAAGTACCTTCAGTTTTCTCCGATGAAAGGCTTGGTGCATCAGGCACAGGAGAAACTGCAGGAACCGGATCTCCTGTACATTAATAAGGTATACATTAAAAGTCTGCTGAATCAAAATGGACGATTGTTACCCGTTTTCTGTTACTGACTTCATGTATTTTGGTTCTTTTTCTTCGTGAAAAAAGTTATTGGACTATGCTAGAACTGACAGTTGTAAATTACTGTTTACAGAACACCTTTTAAGTAAACACGTATTACTTTTCCGTTTTATTGCAATCAATTTCAGACCATTCTATTTCTGACTAAAAAACTGATATAATCGTCATGTGAACTTACATACAAAATGCAAACATAACATTTGTATAGCTAAACAAATTAATGTAAATAATTATATAACAATCGAAGCGGATGGAATTTTCCCTTTCCAGTATGCAGCATGTTCACTTAGTACTTGAGGAATATTGAAACTGACATACACAATTTCCAAAAAGACCTTCCGAATAGAGTTCATCTTAGGTTCACCATAAGACCGTGATTGACAAAACATGAGGTATACAAAGAAAATAAATGAAATAATACATGATAGATTAGTCTCTATTTTCTTTTATTCGTGTCACATAAAAAATACAAAGACAATAAAACGGAAACAAAAATCGGAAAATCAAAAAGAGTAAATAAATAAATAATAACAAAAAAACAACAAGATAAGCTAACTTTAAATAAAGACAACTAAATGCTTCGCATAAATAGAATGCTTAAAGCATATAATGAAGATTGCTTCATCGGCATATAGATAGAATCATTCAGATAATGCATATTTTCTCCTTACTGACATGTAATTACGGGAAATATTGATAGTTTTATTATAATTACAAATGTACCTTTAATATTCAATTATAATTACCTAATTTACTGTTTTTAAACTTTAAACCATATATCCATTGTCATTTCGATACATTTAATTGATTTCGTCTTAAATTAAAAGAAATATTTGCGACTGTACGTTATGCAACCAATAAATCGTTTGTATGATAACATTAATTAATATTGCCTGAAATATTTTGAGATTTGAAATATCATGCTTAGCAGTCTCTCTATGTCACGAATAACCGTAAAACAGGTTGTCTCATTTAAGTTACTTTCATAAAACAATAAAATATGAAAGAATGCTAAAAAGCAAATTAAACCTTGTCCTTAGAAAAAGTACTTTTTGGCAACGTAATCTAAAAATTTTAATAATCAAAATCAAAATTATGAAAAGGTATCGAGCTAGAAACTGAAATATCAATAAATGTCGATAAATCAAAATAAATATATATATTGTATATGCATATTTAAAATCTTATAAAACATTTTAAAGACACTTACCTGCAGTAAACATGAAAGCAGCAAAGGCACACAGTATTACGAAAACCTTCATGGTGGATGATATGTTTCTAGACTGTTGTTGTAAATGACTGGTAGACAACCGTTTTGCAATTGTTTTGTTAAATTACTGCGTTTATACCCAAGTAAAGTGTAACAGCTGAACTACAATACGTGGGTTGCATTCGATTCTTTCCTTATTATATTGTATTGAAACGACGGATTGATACTCTAAATTAATTTCCAGTTAATATATGACCAGTTGACAACTTGCGACGAAAAATTTAATTATATGTTTTATTCCAATATTTTAAACTGTCCAATGTTAAGTAAAGATATATACAATAAAACTATTTAATTCTATTCAAGTACAACATTCAGTACAGTATCAATTTATGTTGAAATTCTAGCGCAAAAAGATGTTTATCAAATTTTGTGTTTTTTTTTCTTCTGTTTTTACCACAAATTATGTCTTACAATTTTCACTTACTGCAAAGTTTACACTGGGAATCAATTGTGAATCGCGTTCGATGCCTATACATTTTTTTCCATGTTTTTTATCAATAGTAAAGGTTTATCTACCAATATTCAATTTCACAAAATTAAATTTTGACACCGGTTTATCAATCATATCATTTCTATAAAATATTTTTGTAGGAATCCTAGCGCGAAAAATGTTTTAACAATTTCTGATTTTTCAACAAAAACTAAGTTTTTGTCACAATTATTTTCAGTTTGCATTGAATTCGAAACGACTTTTCTATCATAGGTACATGTTCAAACACTTTGCATACAAAGTATGGAAATTGGTTGAAGAAATCATGATTTATCTTTGTATCGATCTGATGAGTTGAGCTATTTTCAACTGATTTTTATAGTTTGTTCTTATGTTGTGCTATATCACCACCGTCCCAGGTTAGGGAAGGATTGAGCGCTTACACACATGTTTAACCCCACCACATTCTTTTGTGCCTGTCCCAAGTCAAGAGCCTGTAGTTCAGTAATTATCGTTGGTTAACGTCTGTCATATTTTTTTTTTCGTAAATTGTTTTGTTATAAATTAGGCTGTTAGTTTTCTCAATTGAATTGTTTCATATTTTTCATGTCGGGACCCTTTATAGCCGACTATACGGTATGGGTTTTTCTCATTGTCGAAGCCCGTACGGTTGCCTATATTTGCTTACATCCATTTCATTGCGTAAACCCCTGAGGGTTTACGCAGTATATATTGGACGATGTCCGTAGTCTTTCGGAACACCGGATGTTATTCGGAATACATCTGTTTCTTTCTATGGCCACCTTTCATATACATGCGCAATAGCTTATTATTTGACCTGTTGAATCATTAGCATCTTAAAGTTGCTATAGAGATATGTTACATATGATGCAAAATTTGTTATGACGCAAGCTACTTTAATAAGCTTTTGAATACTTCCTTGCACGCAATTACAAGCTGCTAATATTTACCTTACATATACGCGTAGTTATTCTAATTAGAGTCAAACGTTGAAACCAGCTGTGTTTAAATATGAGATAAGATTTCACGTAAACAATGCAATTTATATTCGAAACGAGATTTGTTAAAACTAAAATCTATAAAAGAAGTATTACTAGCATTTCACTTAAGATTCCTAGTCTAGGGAAAATGTACATAATGTACGAAGCAGGCTATTTCATAATTTTCATACCTCAACGCCCTTGTGGGACTAACTAAAGGACAATACTGAAATTAAAATGAAGTCTTTCTTGCACTTTATTGAAATTTTACGTCTAGGATAGACCAAGGACGTATATAATTTAAATTGATATACGTCCTTGAATAGTTTTTATTTTCTTTAAAATTGCAATTTTCTTTGTTTAAATATTGCAATGTTATTCCTTATCAAATGTCTATTAATTAATAGACACCGAGTGATGACAGATGCAGGCAGAGATAAGAAAAAATAATTTCTATTTATAGTTATCTTGGTCAGGGAACAGATTATCTAACTATATGTTCGGCCTGTAGTGATTAATGCTCTTCAAATATGGCATGGTATTGGTTGCAAAAATTTGATATTTTTCATTTAAATGCAATATTTCTTATCTAATTGGTATATTTCTTCATTTAAATGCAATATTTCTTATCTAATTGGTATATTTCTTCATTTAAATGCAATATTTTTTTTATTTGAATGGTATATTTTTTCATTTAAATGCAATATATTTTTTCAGATGGTATAATTTTTCATTCAAATGGTATAATTTTTCATTCAAATGGTATAATTTTCGTTCAAATGCAATATTTTTTATTCAATTGGTATAAAATGTCATTTGAATGCAATATTTTTTATTCAATTGGTATAGTAGTTTTTTATTTATATGCAATAATTGCATTATGGGAAATTCTTTGACGTCATAAGGTCAAATTTGCAACAACGTTTGTGATTGGTCGGTAATTGTTTGGATTTCTCCCCTTTCTTTCTGAACTTGAGTGACCAAGCATTAAAAAACGCGTCAGAATATCGCCCCTCTAACTAAATTTGGCGTTCGTGCGAGTCCTGCACTGGCTGTTAATGCCAATAATGGCCAGGACGAGCAAAAATTGCGAGTGACAAGTAATAATAATTAATTTGACACACAAATTGTTCATGGACAGAAACAGATGCCTGCGTGCATGACAAAAACACCTCCAATGAAAACCTTTTCTGAAGAAACTCTCCTACAGTCTGCAAATTGAAATAAAAAAAAATACATAGCTAGCCCCCTCCCCCTTCTAAGTCCAGATACATGTAATCATGACGTTCTTTAGTGCTATATCATTTTTTACTTTTCTTGATCCTCAGAGACGTTGCAGGAAGGCACACATGAAAAAAGAATAAAAAGCATCCAGGACGTTACAATTATTTGGACTAAGCCCCCTCTTTTTTACTACATGCAGAAAAAAAAATCACCTAATTACGACAGCAGAACCAGAAACCCACAAGTAGAGACATAAGCTGTTATACTCCGGAACTAATTCTTTAATAAAGACAATTCAGGATAAATTGGAACCAGTTCCTAACCCATGTTACAACAATATATGAGGCGTGAACTTCATATTTAATACTATCTATAATATGTGCTCTCATGTCTTATGCTGCAAATCATTTTACATTTAGGATTCGTTGCTGAGCTTTTTTTTTACTGTTCTCGTCTCCGAATCCCTTAAATAGATTTTTTTTTCAAGCCCCACAGTAGTTCAATAAGTACTATATGTCTTTGATTAAGTGAGTAGGTTCAAATTTAGATATTTGTATAGAGATGTATATATGCGAGTATTGGCAGTAATGGTTATGGTGTGTGTGTGTGTGAGGGTACGGGTTTCAGATCAAAGATCGTTTCTATAATGCTATATCTTTTATTTTTTACCATTTCACTCTATTCTTTATCCTTTGATCTCTATTATATTTGTCCTAAACATGCGTGACATGTTTGCCACTGGACATAAGGCAACCAAAAGTCTATCAACGTATTCTGTATATTTCATCATTTCCCCTTATTTTTTTTTGCACATTAGGGACGACATCAAAAGTTCAATGTAGGATAAAAAAAAACTTAATTCATATAGTTTTTTTCACTGACCCCCTACCCCCCATCCCCCCCCCCCCACCCCCACCTCAACTTAATTTGGGAAAAATAGATTGACCAATAAGGATATATATAAAATCGATGTTAATTAAACAAAACTTGCAGCAATTTTGACACCCCCCCCCCCCCCCCAAAAAAAAAAAAAAAAACAAAACTATTTGAATTAAGTTTTTTAGTCTTCATTGATTTTCTGATGTCGTCCCTTATCCTCTCTATGTAAACCCAATTCATGTCCTGATAAATGGTGACTCATGCATAGCATCATATGTGGCTATTAAAACAAGAAACATATTCATATTATAATAATTAATGTATGTTAGGACTTATAGATAGATGTCATTAGTCCCAGGTCAAATGCAATAGCATTTTAATTTTGATGATTATATATATGTTTATATATTTAATAATGCCATTTTAGAAAAAAAGGGTAGGGGCAAGGCGTTTTAAAACATATCAATGGGGCGCGTTTTTTTTTTTTGTTCTTCGGAAGTGAGCCAGAAGAAGTCCATTTCTGTTTTTTTTTTTTTTGCATTGGGAAGATCTTCTGGCTCTCTTCCACCTCTTTTTTTTTGATAGGTTGACGGCAGAGGCACATAACAAACATGGCGTCGTTTAGTCTAAAGTGAAATTAATAAATTTATGAATGCAGATATATTAGAATGTGAGCTGTTTTATAAACGTTTTTATGGTATGACAGCCTTAGTAGGACATCCCTGTAGGACGATAAGCTTGATAAATATAAGAACTACATGGACAATAACAGTTAAGGGACAATTATTTGATATTCTAGGGAAGGGATTTTGATTAATTGGTGTTTAACGCTACTTTCAACACTATTGGGCTATTCCGTGGTGGTCAGTTTAAATTTATAGATGAAGGATGGGGAAGGTAAAAGAGAGCATTATTATTCCTTTCAATCTGTCGCTAATTATGCCTATTTTTCAGCTCTTACCAGGCAACCATATTCATATATGAAATCCTTCTGTCCCCCACCCCAACAAATAAATAAATATCAAATGGTTTTCCTCTTATTTAACACAAGTTTAAATTGATTGATTGTTTGTTGCTACATGTAATCTTAACGCCCAGTGAAAATGATTTCATGCTTGTTCAGGAAAACACGAGTTTAGAAGTCACGTATATAATATAAAAAGGAAGAGATGGAATATGATTGCTAATAAGGCAACTATCCACCGGAGTTCAAATATGAAGTGGATGTAAGCAATTATAGATAAGATAAGATAAGATAAGAAAAATTTATTTTAAGTCGGGTTACATGAAACACTACAAACAAGCTCTTTAGAGCTTTTTGCCGTCATGTAGACAAATGCTTTTTCTAGACAATCGTAAGGCCTTCAACAATGACAAAAACCTGATACTGTAAAGTCGTCTATAAAAGGCCCGACATGAAAAGTGTGAACAATTCAAACGAAAAAACTAACAGCCTAATTATACATAACAAAACAATTTACAAAATATCAAATATGAGTCGAGACAGGAACCAACGACAACCACTAAACTACAGGCACCATCTCTGGGACAGGCAAATAAAG